GCAGCTCGCCCCCCTGTTAATCAATTACAGCAGCTCCACCGGCAACGGGAGCAGCACGACAACCCCCATCTGTCGCGCAACAACTCTCTATTTTACGTGGCTCTTCTATTTTTGTCGCGCTACGCTCCCCTAAGCGACCCTCCAGCAGATAAAAACTACATGAAATAGTGTGCTAAAGGTGCACAATGTGTTTTTAAATGAATAAACCATTATCAGAGGTGATATGTGATTTTTTTTTCATGCATTTACCCATGTTTATCCGTGACATTGTGTAAATTATTCGAAATTATTCGAAAAATCGTCGAATAGTTGCCATGATTTTCAAATAGTGTTTTTGCTTGTGCTGCCCATCCCTACTCACAACTTGCTTAAAAAAGCTGAGTTTTGCTTCAAAGCGCATTGTCCATACACCAACCAGAGGCCCATACTCTTCAATAAATGCAGGATAATGTTCTAAAAAATGGTGTCTGGGTGTCAGTGTCTCTTCAGGAAAAACTGCTAAGAATCTGTCACGATGCTCAGATATTTTCAAGTCAAGGTATGCAATAGTTTCAACTGCATGAACAGGGGCAACCACCAATTCAACTACGCCTTTTAAAGTCAGAAGAACCTGCCAGGCAGAATCATCCTCAGGTACCCATGAATCAACAATGAGGGGCAACAACCGTATTAGGGCCCAATTTTCATGGCCATTTCCACCTATAGTTCTGCGATGAACGTAGTTTTAAGGGACTGCTTGAGGGCTGTTGGCTTTGTCTGAGCCCTTATAGGAAAAACATGTGATTAACTCGTTGAGTTCAGTCAAATTAAAGTACTTTTTCTTGGTGAAAGTCTGAAAACACAATGCTAGTTCTCTTGGGACTATGCCTTCAAAAAGGTCATGTAGTACATCTGGTGGGTACCCAGATACACAGTGAAAGTGAGTCAATTTATCAGTCAATGGACATGACCGCTTAACGCCAAAGCAATGGGTTAAATTTGAATTTTCTCTCACAGTTTGCACATGCAAACTATGGTCCTCCTTTGTCCGAGGTGGAAACACTCCAGTCCGCACTTCGTGTGTCTGGTACTCTGAAGAATGTCCAAGACAAAATCTACAGATGTACGGCCCAGTGAAACTTTCAACTAGTCCACTGATCGAATGTGCACAGAGATTATTGGCTACAACACAGTGTACTGTCCCTTTAATATTTTTTCCAACACTGGAAATGAAAATCCCGTCCTGTTCTAGAGTGGCAAGATCTTTCAAGAGGGGTTCCAAAACTGATTTGTATTCAAACTGTTTGACATCAACAGCTTTGCAAAGTAAAGCTAGGTGTATTGACGTTAATGCAGATTGCAGCTGGAAGGGTACATTTGCCAAAATCCAATAAACGGCTGTTATTTCGTATTTTTTTCTTGAAGTTCCTAGTGGGTTGCACACCTCAAAGTCATAAAGGATTATAGAGAGTCTTGTTTCTTCTCCAGCATAGAAGGTATTTTGCTTGAAAAATTTGCCATCAAAAGTTGACCTAATATATCCAGTACTGTTTGAATGTCTGGATAAGATTCCCTCTGCAATGTCTTTATTCTTCAAGACTTTCTCCAAAGTCTCAAGAATAGGCACATATTGAAAGCTCTTGTTCTTTTGGGAATCAAGAATATATTTAACAGGATCAACACACTGGAAATGCTCCTTAAAATACCTTCTTCTCTTAAAAGCCCAACCAAGTGGACCACCAGCAGCAAGTGCTGTACTAATGGGATGGAAGTTGCACAACTGTTCTGCTAAGTCTGTTATGATGGCCTGGTCAACAATGCACTTATTTAACTTCAATGTTGAATCAAGTATATTTCTAACAACTTCAACAGATGCTGAAGATGAAATGAACTGAAGGTCTTCAACCAAGGCATCAATGCACTTCACTGAGGCATTATAGACGCATTCTAGCTTCAGCAGAAGTAAGCCGATTCTTTGAAGAACTAAGTATGATGCACTTTCCTTATCACAATCTAAACTAGTGCCCTCACCATCACTGGCCTCTAATAAATCAGAATGGTCGACAGTCTGATTGTGGTGACTCTCATACACGCCTTGCTTCGCTCAAAGAATAGTATTTGTGTCTTCTACTTTTGTGTTTCAGAAATGTATTGTATATATTTGTCCGAAAGCTGCATCCTTCAAATACCGTAAAACTCGGAATATAAGTCACACTGGCATATAAGTCGCAGTCTATTTTTTAAGGTCTCAAACAGGGAAAACAAGGTTTTATATTACTATTTGTTAATAAAAACGTTATACAAGTTATTCCTACACTGTTTCCCTTTATTTTTAAACATTTGAAACACATTCAAAACACAATAACCTCTTAAGCAGCTTTGGTTACTTTTCAGATTGCAATTTTCCAAACAACCTCTTCAGGAAATAAAATTACAGCATAACAACATCTGAGCCATAAAAATGAGTTTAAATTAACGTTAAACTTCTTTTTTCTGTTTTAAGAAGACAGCATTACAGTACCTCATTACAGTGTGGGCTGTAACTATACATGCTTACTCAAATCCCAAAAACGAATGAGTTTAAATTACTACGTAGCGTAGGGTGACCATATTTTGATTTCCAAAAAAGAGGACACTAGCCTACTTAAATGATACTCACAGTTTACTCAAAGATGCCTTATAATTTTAATATATTTAAAATTTATATGTATGGATAGAAAATTCAGTTATATTACAAAATAATATCTCTCAAAGACAGAAATTCAGATAGGCCCCAATAGGGGACACATACACACACTAGAGTGTGGCGATCTGAGCCCAATGGTACCCGACGGGTCGGCCGGGTGTAGCTATAAATTGTATTCGGGCTCGGGTCGGATTCGGTCAGCTTTCAGTGAAAATGTAGTGTAAAAATAAATAAAATCCTATTGTCTGTCCTGTTTATTGCTTGGGCACTGTTACGTGACAACACCTGAACATAACACACACAGACACACTATTGGCTATTTGTTTCTACCTCTCTCCTCGCTGGAAGTCTCGGACCTCCAGCCGCCCGCCCCCGCCTTGATTAAACGCTGAAAATAAAATAAAAGAGGGAGACAGGTTTTTCCTATTTTATCTTATTTTGTTTTATTTCTCCCTCTCCTCTCACTAGAAGCGTCGGACCTCCCGCTCCTGTCTCAAACACGGAGGTCTCCCTCTCCACAGCTGAGCACCCACGGCGCATGCCTGGCCTGTTAAATAGCCTGTAACCACTGTGTGACACAAACTCAGTGCTTTGGTCATTAAATAATGGTTCGGGTTCGGACAGAAATATGCTGCCCGTGCCACACTCTAACACACACACACACAAACACACGGAAAACCGGACATTATCATCAGTTTATAAAATACCCCCAGATGCCCCGGACGGGATGTGAAAAGTGGAGATGTCCGGGCAAAAGAGGACATTTGATCAGCCTAACGTAGCGTCATCTTGTGGGTCAAATTACCTATGTCAGCATTTACCTTGGTTTATAGGTCGCACCGGTCTATAACCCGCACCCAACTTTTTAGATTAAAACAAAGGGAAAAAAAGTGCGACTTATACACCAAGTTTTACGGTACACAAAAGACAGTTTCATGGCTCTTCAGATGATTTCCAATATGCTGAAAGTAGTCCTTCTCTGTAGAACAACTAGCACCGCAAACTAAACACTTAAAAACAGAGATGATTCCTGGCTGTAGACTGTCTTCAGCTGCATGATACCTGGACAAATGTGTGCGGAGGGCACTCTGTGTTTTAAATGTGCAAGGGCAACTGTCATATAGACATGGCTGGGATTGCCCACGACCAAATGTTGCGTGTTGTAGTCTGTAATGTTTTAGTAGATTCCCCTTTGTAGCAGACAAAGACTTGCAGATTTTAAGGTAATAAGAAAAAAAAAGGTCTTATTTACTTAGTGTATAACTAGTAGCCTACATCACTAATAGATCTAGTAATTAAATAATGTACTAGGGCTGAACAATTAATCAATCAATTTTATCAAAATCGCAATACAGCCTACTGCAATTTTCAAATCACAGGAGGCACAATATTTCTTAAAGGCAAAATGTGTGTCAAAATATCATTTTAACTGAAATGTTATGCTGCAGAGATGTTCTGGCCTACACATCATATTCTACAGACTTCAAAAAAACGTCTGTTACAGATCCCCACAAAAATCACACCATAATTATTTTAATGTTTTTCAAAAAAAAAAATGAGAACAATGATACAAAATTATAATTCCCTCTGATATTGCAAATCATATCACAATTGCAATATCACCGAAAACATAATCACAATTAGATATTTTTTCAAAATCGTTCAGCCCTATAATATACCATTACATGTAAGAGATTGGGCACCTATGCTTTAAATATTTATTGTTTGGCATTTGTTGATGTACATCTTACCTTAAAAAATGATTTCATAGAGTTTTTGTCTGACATCTTAAAGGGATAGTTCATTTTTTGAAGTGGGATTGTATGAGGTATTTATTCATAGTTAGCGTCTTACCTGCAGTAGACTGCAATCCACGTGTCCCCAATGTGGAGAAACAGTTATACTGGCACAGATGCTGAGCAATGTACTGCTCTAAAAAAACTGAACTATCCCTTTAAGAATGTTCACAATAAACTTTTTTGCTGTTACATTATTACAAGACGAAAACATGATTAATTAGTGTTACAGGTGTGGAAAAGTATGTACAAACCATTTACAGCTTAACTGTATGACTATGAGAAATCTGTAATCAGTATTTCTATATTTTCTGCTGCTTTAATTTCAAATTCAGGTTGGAACTACAGGTTTTGAACATCACCAACAATTTAAACTCTAGCTAATCTGCTTTTTATGCACCAAAAGTTGATACAAAAAATAGTTATCAATTTCTACTGCAATGCAAACGGTATACAAACCTTTACACAACATGTACTGTATGAGAAATATGGTATCACAGCATATGGTGTATTACGCATAATGTAAGTGTGATACATACCTGTTAATAACTTTTAGTCACAGATTCTTCATGCATCTGGAAGTAAATTCATATCAGCATTTAATTAAATTGAATAAATTCATATTTTACACACACACACACACACACATACACACACACAAAACAGGGAACATATTAGTAGTAACTTAATCGAAATTTACACTTGCTTGTCCACATACTGCATGATGGAAATCTGAGTGTTAAGAAATTTACAAACATTGTCACTCAGCTACCAGAAAATATCAGTTTATCATCCAAAGAGGGTTGAATCAAGGCAACTGGACTTGTTTTTAGATCTTTAAGACGTTTCGCCTCTCATCCAAAAGGCTTCTTGTTCTTAAAGGAACATCTTCAATATCTAAAAACAAGTCCAGATGTCTTGACTTAACTTTCTTTGGATAACTATCCATGTATCAGATATAAGTCCACTACATTCAGGTCTCTAATAAGAGAACATCTGTTTATGGGTACAAAGAAGAAAGAGGTCTACGATCTTAGTTAAGTAAAGAACTGCATTTAAATAACCCAGTAGCATTTGAAAGACTAGTTAGACACACTTACAATAGATTTACTTCCATAAAAAAAAAAAAACATAGCAAATCATAAAAACAGTGGCATGAAATAATAACTGTTGAAGCTTAATAACCTTTGTAGATCCTTTACCTTAAGGGTATGCTAATAGCAGGAACACTGAAACATGTCATATGCAAATAAGAATGAGGCTAGGAATAACCCTGACAAAGAAAATTTATAATATCAAAAGATGTGACGTTTCATCGTAAGTTGTCTTTTAAGCCTACAAGTGTGTGTTCCCTTCTTCACTTTCACATGAGGAAGACTATCAGTGATTGAAACATTATAGGGCAAATTATTTATAAAAAGGAAATGTATTCTGGTCGTTTTTCCATGTGGATATGGTCTCTTTTTCTGGTATTTATTTTGGTCTCATCATTCTATAAGAATGTCCAACGCCTAACTGAGTGATTTACTCTGTGGACACACACTGTTGGCAGTATGACTTCTATAACTTTAGTGGGAAAAAGGAGACATCGCGTAGCATTTGGATATATTGAGCGTGACATGTTAACATAATATTTACAGTGTTAAATGTGGTTCATTCTCGCTGCCGTGATGCGGAAATGCGGGACGGATTTGCGGAATATTCGCGCAGCGCCTTTCCGCGCTCAAACCATACACACAGGCACGGAACGGAAGCGGTGCGGAATTTCGCGTTGTTGTGTTCCAAGTCCGCGCTGCGTGAATGGGTGTGGGTGAACATGGACGAGAGTAGTAGCAGCAGCAGCAGCGTATGGCGGGTGGATAGTGCCAATGCAAGGATTACCAGGAGAAGGAGGAGGGGCAACCTCCCCTTCCGTCACCGCCTGACCGTGTGGATTTTTGAATGGGAGTGAATGGGACAGCAGATGAGAGACCAGCGGCGACTTCACGGCGAGTGCACTGAAAGAACGTGTATCGACGGCGACATGACAATGGCGTATGTTAGAATTACTAACAAAATAAACGTCTGAAACACACGTCGTCACCAAAGTACGTCGTCACCAAAGCACGTCGTCACCAAAGTACGTCCCCTTGTCTGAAGTTAATTACAAATACGGCCTATACACTCAGAAATTTTCAACCAATAATCTGTCACAACAATTCTAATTACAATTCTCATGGGATTACGAGGTCTGTCACCAAAAAATTTATTTATTTTTTATTGTTAATTCGATTGTTCTCTCTTTTGTTTAACTCTTGTTATGCTGTCATATATGTGTAACTCTATTGTACGGAAACGTGAGCTGGAATGACTGAATTGTTTGTTGTTGTTCCAACTTTCAATAAAGTTGGAAGGAAAAAAAAAGTACGTCGATCCCCTTGTACGCCGTCGTCAGTGTGACTTTCCCCAACTTAATTGAGTGAATTCAAGTCTTTCAATAGCTTACATGTTTTATATGTTAACATGTCTTTATTTTCGTGTATATTGGGAACTACACAGTACAGTGCATAGCCTGTACTATGCTCATCCTTTGGATTCACTTTTTGTTTTTCTTTTGAGCAGTTGCAGCATTGAAATTGCGCTGAATAGACTAGGCCTAAGCTGTGTAAAAAGAACAAGAAGCCAGCAACACTCCTTCTGATATCTTTAATGCCTCACTGGTACAGGCTACTCACACAAACCGGTTTCGACGGTCAGTCTTCGACAGTGTGTCTAAGCTGTGCCCTGCTTTCAAAATTGCAAAATTTAAAAGTCCATGTCCAAATTTAACAATGTTTCCGTGGGAACTTCTATTGCGGATCTTATCCACTAGATGGTGCCATTGTTCAATGATTGTTGTAGTTACAGTGTTGAGTGTTGGAAGAAGTAGGCTACTTAGATCAAAAGTATCAATACCACAATGCAAAAATACTTAATACTTAATATATATATAAGTATTTTATTTAAGATGACCAAGGGTACTTGCACACCTCCATTTTTAGAAAGAAAACTGACCGCAACACTGTATTGCATGCAGACAGTTTTCACCCCCCGTTGCTCATTAAGAATATCCCTTATGGACAAATGCAAAGATTAAGACGTATATGTGATTCTGATCAGGATTTTTTAAATCAGTCCATGGACATGCAGCAGCGTTTTAGACAGAGAGGGTATAAATCTGAGCTTCTTACTCAGGCTCATAATAGAGCTTTATCACTGGAGAGGAGGGATTTGCTCAGCCCTAAACCTAAACAGGAACAAGTTCAGAAACCCTATTTTGTCACTCGCTACAGCAAAGAAGCTGTCCAGATCAAACACATTATAAAGAAAAACTGGGATATCATTGAGAGTGACCCTTCTTTACAAGAGGTATTCCCTGAACCGCCGGGTATCAGTTTTAGAAGGGCCCCCACCATCAAGGATAAATTAGTAAGGAGTTATCTTCCTGCTCACAAACCAGACACCTGGCTGTGTCGACCAAAGGTGGAGGACAATTGTTGAATAAAAGGCAACAGAATTAAATTTTGTTATTTTGTGTGTTTTCATTTCCTATTTAATCAACACCTGATACCCACCTAATACTTTATTTTCATTATACCATGAAGAACACAGGTAGGTTAGTGCATTTTAAAATCCAGTTTTAACTTAGGGTGACCAAGAGTTCTCTTTTGGCCGGACATGTCCACTTTTCACGTCCTGTCTGGGTCCGGTTATGAATCGTTTTTCATCGTTTTTCATGGGACCATTAAGCACATAAAGACTTGTCTATGCGCTGACGGTGCTTTGTGCAGCTTACTACTGTATGGTACTTTTTACAAACTGCAAAATTGCAAGTTACTTCAATAGCTCACTTGGTAGGAGTTCTGCAACAAATACCCATTGCAATTTTTACTGGAGCGGCACAGGTTCGAGTCCTGCTGTGTTTCTTTTTTTTTTTTTTTTCAGTCCGGTATATTTTATTTTATTTTATTTTATTTTATTTGTGCACCATTAATAAGTATATCATATAAAAGAATCAGGTGAAAACGTGCAATAGACAAAATAATGTAGACCTATTTAATAAATGTTATAGACTACATGAAATGCTGAGGCAATAAAAACAATCTTAGATTAATTAAATTAATATGTTGGTTGATGGTTACAAATAACTACTCTTGCCCTCTAAGTGTGCTGAGATTAGCCTACTGTAAAGTTTACATAGGCTATGTATAAGCCTTTGAGCAGGTGCATCAGCTTTCTTGTGTTCAATTGTTCAAAAATATCTTATTTAGGTACATTAGGCCTATTGTTAAACTATTCAATGGTAAATATGAGAGGTGTTTTTTTTTTGTTTTTTTTTTGACAAAGACTGGAAGAAAGGCTCCAACTGTCCAGTCAACAAGTTAAATATTTTCCTATGAACTTGTCGCTAAATATGGACAGAGTTTAGGCCTATACCCCATTTTGACAGTTAATGTAATGCAATAAAGTTGCTGACAGACTCGCGTTACATTGTTGTTTAATTAAATATAAATCAGCGACAAAGCTGTTTAATGTGAAGGTAAAAGCAAAAATATTGCCGTTATTGCAACTGTGGAAGATTGTTATGTAAAAAATCATGTTTGAATGCCCATGCAAACAGAACAGATTTATGGAGACCAGAACTGATGTGAATTAGAAAGTTGACATTGTGCGTGTGTGGGACGGGGGGGGGGGGGGGGGGGGGGGGGGGGGNGGTGTGGCGACGTACTTATCAACGACAATTTGCACTGGCGACGGAGTAAGTCAGCCAGTTCAGACGTTGATGTCACACGAGAGTCTCCTGCGGTCGGATTACCGTGGCACTATCCACCCGCCATAGCAACGAGCTAGCAAGCTAACATTTAACAAGCGTCAACATCAACTTTGTTTAGCACTTACACTCTCACCGCAGCCACCAAGCTGGACAATGGACTGCCAGACCTTGTTCTTTAATTCACTGTTCATAAAATCATCCTGTCTATTATCAAAAAGGAGGAGCTGCTGTGAAATTATCAACCTTTCCCCCATACTGTCCTGCCTGACTGGATTTCGGACTCTCTCGGTCTGCGCGACTATAAACAAACAATTTCATTGGCCCAGCTATGTAGTTCCGCCGGCGAATTCCGCGGGGGTCAAAGTCTGGGCGGAAACTTTTTTCACCGCCCGAAAGTTCCGCCCCGGTGTGCAAACTTCCGTAAGAACCCATGAAATCAACTTTTATATTTTTCCGCGAGAATAATCCGCGCGGATATTCGCCCTCAGTGAGAATGGACTTTAACGAAGCCTCTCTCTGGCAGCTCAGAGTCCGCATCAAGCTCTAATGTTCTCAACCCAGCATTCACAAACGCAGCTCGGTGTGACTGTTTATCTGTCAGTGTGACCTGCAACCACAGCTTGAAAGCATAACGTTACTCCGAGAAAACTGAAGAAGGCCGTTCAAGCCTTCTGAATGTAACTAACGTAACGTTAACGGAGAGAGCCTCGGTGAGAGCCGGTGAATTTGGGATTAGCAAAACACCAGCCAGTGTGCTCAAAACACATTAACAGACGTTGGATAAAAATAACACCAAATTAAAATAAGAAAGAGGAAACAGCGCACTTTGTTTCAAAATGTAACTACACAAAACCGACTGATTTTTCTTCCGAAATGTGTAACGTTACAAAAGCTGATAAGTATACTGCTTTTAACATGTTACTTGAGTAAAAATGTTACTCGAGTACAATTTCGTTGTGAAAAATAAATGCAGTAACTTTAAATGAAACTCGTGAGTTAATTACTCACCTCTGAGAGCAATGTTTGTTCCTCCATTTGCGCATCACGGTCTCGGCTAACGTAATGCCTGCTAGCTAGCTTATTAGGGTGGGGGAGGGGGGGCTTGGGCTGAGGCCAGTAAACTAAATTAAATAAAAGATTAGCTTGTATTTTACGGCCATTATATAACGGTATTGCATTATACTTGGGATAGTCATATTAAATTGTGACAGACTACTTTTTCAGTCATTGCAATGCTTTTAGTCGAATCAAAGACGATGCAGACTGAGGCTGACTTCGACTCACTAACATTATAACTTAATTTTGACTTACAGTGCAGTAAAGTTGGCATGTTTGGTAACTTGCAGTAACGCAAAACAATGTTTAACTGCTACAGAAACTTGAATTGTTTGTTAAATAAGAACAATTAAAAAACTTACCTTTAAGCAAACGATAGTCCATGAAATGTGTGGCAGACGTCCATGTGGCGCAAAATGCTTTGGGCGGAAGTGAGGTGGTTAAAATCAAAGACCTCCCAATGAGTAAAATTCATCAATTTTCTGCACTTTTGACTTTCCTGATAAACATAATTAAATTCTACTCAGTGGTTCTCGGCTGATTTTATTAAAAAAAACTGAGTAAAATGCAATTAATAAATTATTCAAATTTGATGAATTCAGTTCAGTGTGATTCCAAACTGCACACAGTCTTTTTTATTATGTATAGTTTACACTTATTTATTTAGTAAAGTAGTTTTTACAGTGAATCACTTACTCATAAATTCACTCCTCCCAGTCATAATAATACCCACATTCCTCGAGGCAGCGGCAGAGGAGGGGGAGTTGCAGCCATTTTTAACTCTAGTCTGTTAATCAGCCCTAAACCTAAACTAGATTATAATTCATTTGAAAGCCTCGTTCTTAGTCTTTTACATCCGACCTGGAAAACCTCGCAGCCACTTTTATTTGTTATAGTGTACCGTGCTCCTGGCCCGTATTCTGAATTTGTATCTGAATTCTCAGAGTTTTTATCCAGTTTAGTTCTTAAATCAGATAAAGTTATTATTGTAGGCGATTTTAACATTCATGTCGACGTTGATAATGACTCCCTGGCTACCGCGTTTATCTCATTAATAGACTCCATTGGCTTCAGTCAGGGTGTACATGAACCCACTCACTGTTTTAACCATACCCTCGATCTAGTTCTGACGTATGGAATTGAAATTGATAACCTAAAAGTCTTTCCACAGAATCCCTTGCTATCAGATCATTATCTGATTACTTTTGATTTCTTTTTACTCGATTACACGCCACTCAGCAACAGTTACTATACTAGATGTTTATCAGATAGTGCTGTCACAAAATTTAAGGAAAAGATTACTTCGTCGTTAAATTCAATACCAATACCTTCAGTAACAGAGGTTTCCCGTGCCGACTTTAACCTCTCCCAAATTGATCATTTTGTTGATAGCGCCGTAGGCTCGCTGCGAACAACGCTCGACTCTGTAGCTCCTCTTAAAAAGAAGTTAACAAAGCAAAGAAAGTTTGCTCCTTGGTATAACTCTCAAACCCGTAGGTTAAAACAAATATCGCGAAAATTTGAAAGGAATTGGCGATTAACCAAACTGGAAGAATCTCGTTTAATCTGGACAGACAGTCTCAAAACTTATAAGAGGGGCCTCCGCAATGCCAGAGCAAACTATTACTCAGCATTAATAGAAGAAAACAAGAACAACCCCAGGTTTCTTTTCAGCACTGTAGCCAGGCTGACTGAGAGTCAAAGCTCTATTGAGCCTTGTATTCCTTTAGCCCTTAGCAGTAATGATTTTATGAGCTTTTTTAATGACAAAATTCTAACTATTAGAGGCAAAATTCATGACCTCCTGCCCTCAGATGGTAGGCCTACCTATCTAACCTCAAACACAGCTGTAGAATCTAATATATATTTAGATTGCTTCTCCCCAATTTCTCTTCAAGAATTGACCGCAGTGATTTCTTCATCTAAATCATCAACGTGTCTCTTAGACCCCATCCCAACTAGGCTACTTAAGGAGGTCTTTCCTTTAGTTAACACTCATATATTAGATATGATCAATATATCCCTATTAACAGGCTATGTACCACAGTCTTTTAAGGTAGCTGTAATTAAACCTCTCCTAAAAAAGCCCACCCTGGATCCAGAGGTGTTAGCCAACTATAGACCAATATCTAATCTTCCCTTTATGTCAAAGATCCTTGAGAAAGTAGTCGCAGACCAGCTGTGTGATTTTCTCCAGGATAATAATTTATTTGAGGAATTTCAGTCAGGATTTAGAGTGCATCATAGCACTGAGACAGCTCTAGTTAAAATTACAAATGACCTTCTGATTGCTTCAGACAAAGGACTCGTCTCTGTTCTTGTTTTATTAGATCTTAGTGCGGCGTTTGACACAATTGACCATCAAATTCTACTGCAGAGACTGGATCACTTAATTGGCCTAAAAGGTTCAGCACTAAGCTGGTTTAAATCTTATTTATCTGATCGTTTTCAATTTGTTGACGTTCGTAATGAATCATCCTTACGTACCAAAGTTTGTTTTGGAGTTCCGCAAGGTTCTGTGCTCGGACCAATCCTATTTACTCTATATATGCTTCCTTTAGGTAACATCATTAGAAATCACTCTATAAATTTCCATTGTTATGCGGATGATACACAGTTGTATTTATCGATGAAGCCAGAAGAAAGTAATCAATTAACTAAACTCCATAACTGCCTTAAAGACATAAAAAATTGGATGAGCACCAATTTCCTGATGTTAAATTCAGACAAAACTGAAGTTATTGTTCTTGGCCCCAAACAACTCAGAGACTCTTTATCTGATGACATAGTTTCTCTAGATGGCATTGCTCTGGCCTCTAGCACTACCGTAAGAAACCTCGGAGTAATATTTGATCAAGATTTGTCTTTTAATTCTCATTTAAAGCAAACCTCACGGACTGCATTTTTTCATCTGCGTAATATTGCGAAAATTAGGCCTATCCTGACCCGAAAAGATGCAGAAAAATTGGTCCACGCTTTTGTTACCTCAAGGCTGGATTACTGTAACTCTCTATTATCAGGTAGCTCTAGTAAGTCCTTAAAAACTCTCCAGCTAATTCAGAATGCAGCAGCACGTGTACTAACAGGAACTAAGAAACGAGATCATATTTCTCCTGTTTTAGCTTCTCTGCACTGGCTCCCTGTAAAATCCAGAATTGAATTTAAAATCCTACTGTTAACTTATAAAGCTCTAAATGGTCAAGCTCCGTCATATCTTAGAGAGCTCATAGTGCCATATTATCCCACCAGAACACTGCGCTCTGAGAACGCAGGGTTACTCGTGGTCCCTAAAGTCTCCAAAAGTAGATCAGGAGCCAGAGCCTTCAGCTATCAGGCTCCTCTCCTGTGGAATCATCTTCCTGTTACGGTCCGGGAGGCAGACACCGTCTCCACATTTAAGACTAGACTTAAGACTTTCCTCTTTGATAAAGCTTATAGTTAGGGCTGGCTCAGGCTTGCCCTGTACCAGCCCCTAGTTAGGCTGACTTAGGCCTAGTCTGCCGGAGGACCCCCTATAATACACCGGGCTCCCTCTCTCTCCCTCTCTCTCTCTCTCTCTCTCTCTCTCTCTCTCTCTCTCACTCTCATCCTATTACTGCATCTTGCTAACTCGGCCATTCTGGATGTCACTAACTCGGCTTCTTCTCCGGAGCCTTTGTGCTCCACTGTCTCTCAGATTAACTCATATCGCAGCGGTGCCTGGACAGCGTGACGTGTGTGGTTGTGCTGCTGCCGTGGTCCTGCCAGATGCCTCCTGCTGCTGCTGCCATCATTAGTCATTAGTCATACTTCTACTGTTATTATACACATATGACTATTGTCACACATGTATACTGCCAGATATTAATACATACTTTCAACATATTGTACCACAGTAGCCAGAACTATAACTATAATATTATTACTTTCAATAATGTTGTTGTAAGCTACTGTCATTACCTGCATCTCTCTCTCTCTCTCTCTCTCTCTCTCTCTCTCTCTCTCTCTCTCTGTCTCATTGTGTCATATGGATTACTGTTAATTTATTATGCTGATCTGTTCTGTACGACATCTATTGCACGTCTGTCCGTCCTGGAAGAGGGATCCCTCCTCAGTTGCTCTTCCTGAGGTTTCTACCGTTTTTTTTCCCCGTTAAAGGGGTTTTTTTGGGGAGTTTTTCCTTATCCGCTGCGAGGGTCATAAGGACAGAGGGATGTCGTATGCTGTAAAGCCCTGTGAGGCAAATTGTGATTTGTGATATTGGGCTTTATAAATAAAATTGATTGAATTGATTGATTGATGATTATCTAATACAATTTTGAACAAATTCATGATACATTATTATACATACATCATATCTATGCATTGTTGTATTTTTCTTTTACAAAGTAATGCAATGTTTAAGTCAGGCCTGATGTTGCCTTACACATAAAAATGATTCCAATCTCTTTAACAGAGTGAGGTATACAGCTTATAAATCAAACACTGATATCGTATTGGTACTGGGTATCAGCAAATACCCAAAGGCCAGGCTGTGGTATCAGGACTGAAAGGGTGTGATCAGTTCATCTCCAGTATTCACTGACAGTTTCTGCTTCCATTGTGGAAAAAAAAGACAGTAGTGTGGATTAGACATCAGACTTTAACCACTGATTGTGACTCACCTTTGTATTGTCTCATCTTTGCTGCAGACCACCTTTGCTGATGCCGGAGGGCACTGTATCAAGTTGAAATTCGGAATAATTTGTACGGCTATCTGGTGAGTGTTAACACATGAAATTTTGGGCTTGCCGCATGCAAACAATTTAAAGTGTGATTTTAATGGCAGTTTGATCTTACGTTGTGGAACGTAAATGGTAATGTGCATGACATCAGAGTTAAACCACTGACTGCGACAGTAATTTTTGCTGCAGACCACCTTTGCTGATGTCAACATGCCTAAAAGTAGCTGTGCAAGCATAAGTGGATGCGTGAGGCAAAGCGGCATGCACGGCACGTGCAGCCAATTCAGGGCAAGCTGCGCTGCAGATGTGCATGAGGCGCCTGGCAAGCAATGTTGCACACATGGCTAACATGAGGGCAGAGGAAGCACAGCAGATGCGCATTAAGTGCCTGGCAAGCAACGTGCACACATTGCTACCTACCTGTAGACACCATGTTACATAGAGCCTTTTAAGGTCACGTGTCAATAAAAACTTCATTATATCCGATAAGTGAAAACCTCACCATATACATAACTAATTTCCTTATGTTCTTAAAAAAACAATAAACACCCCCTCTTGTATTGTAATAGTAACATCCGTCTTGGCAAGAGTGTGTTGGTTGTTTCCTAGATCACAAATATAATGTAATTGGTCAGTGCGGTTAAAACAGTAATTGGCAAACTTAACATGATGTTGGGTTGGTTTTTCCTTTGTGTACTAACTTGATGTTTGATTTGTC